CCTTGTTAATCCATTTCAGCCTAATTATGTAATGGAAAGTCCTAAACACACATCCTTCTTGCACTGAAATGTCATCCTTCAAGATCTAAATTTTTTCTTAGGGCTCTATTCAGGCTCCTCAGGCTTCAATAGTGTGAATGCCAAAGAGCCCTGATTAAAAATGCTTCCCCCTCCTCTCTGTGCTTTGCAAAGCTCTGAGGGGGTTAAAGCATAGTGCAAAAATGCAGAGTTTCAGTGCAGAAATGCCTTGCACCCTATTGGGAGTACTGAGTTAAGTGAAGATGCTAGTTCCTTGCAAGATATTTTAAATATAAGCACTGCTGGGGAAGGCCTTACACATAAAATCCTGTCAGAACAAAGATGGTACTCTTGAGATTTTCCAGACTGACATGCTTGGCTGAGGTAGAAACTAAGGTTTTATCATCACCGAACAGGCTCAGTGCAGGCAGCAGCAACAGGAGCTTCCCAGCACTAGTCAGTGAGCACTGTTTTCAAACAGGTTTTCCTGTCATTGTGGTATTTATTTGTTAAGCTACTGCCTGCACTTTTTCTGCAGTGATGCTCTCTGCAGGTCTAACAGCTGACTACAGTTAGCCTCCACAGCCTCCACTGCCATGCCTGCTAAGAAGGTGCCAGCTGTTTCCATCTTGGGCAGCAGCAGCTGTAAGCCATACAGACATCTTCCTGTTTGGATACCAAACCCACCTAGATCAAGTAGACTAATGTTTTTCAAAGGGCTTTGAAAACACACAGGGTATGCCAGGTTACAGACACTGGTTGCCAACCAGGCAACCACAAACAGGCTTTCTGTGTACCAAAGAGCATCCCTAAACTGTGCTGGCTTGCAACTTACGGTTCCACGGTGCTGCTCAATGCCTTTCACATTTCTGACCACCAAAGCTCACAAAGGAAAAGAAGCTGGTAGGCAAACTGCCAGCAGAAAGCACTGATGTCTTTGGCCAAATGACTTTGCTACGGGGCTGGCAGCAATTTTACAGCATAGGGATGAAACTCTCCCACGCTGAGGTGGCATCATGAATCATGAATCCACTTCATAGCTTTTGTCTACAGCTCTTTTGGATTCCAGTAGTCCTAGAAATGAGTACTTGAAACCCATGCAAAGGATTACAGTCTTTTGTCCCTTCCTTGTACCTCTTCCCAGAAAAGGAGAAAACTATTTGCAGGATTGTCTGGGTTGATACAGAGGCTGTCCTCTGTGTGGAGCAGCTTTGCTAAGCTGGTTTCTGCAGAAACCAAGGCAATCTTTCAAATTCAATCACTTGCTGCTGAAACTGTGCATGTTGTGCTCATTCAGCTTCCAAGCTACTGAGGCAGTTGTGGACTTTCTTCCAGCTTGAGCATGTATTTTCTTCATTACAGGCTGCCTCAGGAGACAACAGCAGAGACAGGAACACTGCAAGTCACAGAATCTACAGTTAAGGACAAAAGATGATGACAGCATCACCAGGCCCATAGCAGAAAAATCCAACATGAAAACAATGGAGATGACAGGAAAGCTCTCCTAGAATTGTTCAAAGTTGCAATTGAAAGCTTCCAAATTTCCAACAGTTTTATTTCATTTTTTTGTGTGTCTTGGTTTGGGATCTTTTTGTGTGTGTGTGTTTGTTTGTTTGTTTCCAAATCTGCTTTAAGAAGCTCGATGTGCTAAACAGAACATTCTGTTGCTATTAGTTTTGAGTATGCTACAAGCAGCAAGAACAAGAAGCAGCACAGTATGATAGCTAGGCATTTGACCCTGAGAAAGCCCCAAAGTCTTCAACAAAAGTCCTCATGCAGCCCACCACACTTAACACTGGTCTCAGGTGGAGTGTCTGAGACTCTCTGGGCTTCTCAGTATTTCAGATAAGTCCAATAATTTATATGCTGAGGCTTGACATGGTTGCACTCAGGAAAACACGGGCTGTGGTTGAGCAAGCAACGCTATACTCTGTGCAGTCTATGTTACACTGGGGGAAAAAAAAAAAAAAAAGACATAAACAAAGGGTTGCTTTCCCATCCATTCTCTGGAAGAGAATGGAAGTCGTTATTCTGTAATCTGTCACTCTGCTGCTTGTGCTGGGCCTGGAGCTGGGTCAACAATGTGCTGGCAGCCAGGATGTCAGAGGAGAAGAAACCCATGTTGCCCAGCTCCAGACCCCCTTGGGTAGCATGGGCTTCCCACTACCTTGGCCCCCACTGCAGACCAGGCCAGCTGTCCAGCCTATTACCTGCTGGCAGCAGTGGAGGGGACGCAGCACCGAGCACTGCACCCGGTGCACACCAGGACAGCTGCTGAACAGACGGGCGTGGTTGTTATGGGGAGGTAAAAGCCATCAAAGCCAAGCCCCATTCAGTCCTGTGGGTTTTGTTTTACTTTAGCTCCTGGGACTTTCATAGCAAAACTTCCCACCATGCTAATGGCCCCAGTGGCTTATTAAGTGCTTTCAAATGCTGACACAATGAATGCCTTGAGTTTTCTCACTTGTTACTTAACTGACAGTACCCTGGAAAATACTGGAAAGCATCACCCACAGTAAGGGCATATTTGAGTTAGATACAACACAAGGGACATAAAAATGTCAGGATCCATTTACTTCAGATTTAGGAAACAATATTTTAAACATGCAATTCTTTCCCTGGAAGGAAAAATAACCTGAAATTTATTTTTCTACTTCTTACTTGAAATATTTGTCAAAGTAAAGTGATGCTAAGTTAAATGCAGTTAAATTCTTCCCTTTCCAGAAATCTGTTGTGCATTGATTTCACCAAGAATGAAGATCTAAAAATATCACATATAATGAAACAATGAGATCTGAAAGGGTCCTGCTGCCATACACTTGAAACCCTGAAGCAGACACTGAAATCTCTATGTATTTTTGTGCTCAGGAGGAGAACTGAGAGCAGCCCAAAATACAGTGTGAGTAATTTCCAGGTGTATCTTAGCATTTTACAAACTTGGCCAAACCCACATTACAATTATATACAAAGTGATTATATACACTGCATTCAATGAATCAAATTTACTCATCTTAGTGGATGACACAAAGCTGTGTGTTTTGTAAATATTTATTTATTTATTTATTTGAATGGCATTGCATCTTTTAAAAGGATTTAAGGATAGATGAGGGAAAGCGTCCCTATAGACTGAGAAGCAGGTTTTGCAGCAGGAAATCTGAGTCACAACACAGCGGTCATATGTCATTTTCTGTTACTGCGTGATATCTCACAAACAAGGCTGAGACAGTGGCTACTTGTGCATAGCCTGGCTTGCTGTGGCAGAAGATCACTGAAGCTGTCCAGTGGCCATGATATGACTACATCACATCTCTCCTGAACCCTTGTCTGGTGCACCCATGCAGATTTTATCTCCACAATAGTTGCATGCTTGGAACTCCTGGGTAAAGGGTGGCATGGCCTCACAGCCAGGTTTGATTGCAAGAGAGTAAAAACTGTTGTGGGCAGTAGGCATATGAAACCAGCCATGATGAATCACACAAAAAATGAGTGATAGAAAAACAAAGAGAAAATAACTCCAAAAACCTGAAGCAGGAAAGAAACAAGCTACATGAGAATAATCACTGATGAACTAGTCACTCATTATTAGGTCCTTGTCCGTCTTAGAACTGTCTGCAAAATGAACCAAATAAACTGCAGATGGTACAGAAAGATAAACTAGGAAAAAAGGATACAAATAGAAACAGCATCTTAAAACACAGAAATACTTAAAACACAGAAATCTTAAAACACAGAAATACTCCTTTATGGCTGTATTGGAATGACAGATTACCTCTGGGCTACTGCAGTCAAGTATGCCTGCTGGTTTAGTTTACCACTAAGCACTGATAATTTGGGATGACTTTTTCTTCTACTGAGGACCTGTCTTAAATGCCTGTATTTACAAAAACTTGCTGAGAACGAAGTCAGTAAAAGCCCCTCTTCTGAGAAGTAGACATACCCAGAGGATCTGACAAAGGGGAAAAGAGGTTGAAGAGAGGGGAAAAAAACATTGTCAGTTTGTCTTGCAGAGCTTTTTTGTTTGTTTTTCAAAGGCAGACACTGCACAGATTGGAACCTATGCTTGGAGAAATCACTTCCAAGCAACCATTCCTCTATGTGCGTGGCAGGAGCATTTGGTCCAACTTTATCTTAGGGCTGCAGATTAAATTATTTTATTACTGCTACAGACAGAAAGTGAGCCTTGTTTTAGCAGGACGTGGATCAGCTGCATTATGTATTTTTGTTTTAGGCTTTGCTCCAGGAGGATATAAGAAGTTCACAAACAAAATGCTGGGTGCATGTTAGTACACAGCCCCCAGGGACCACGCACGGCCAGCCATGGCAGGGGTGGCACGGAGGAGCACCCTGAGGCTTACCTGCTGCTCCCCTCCAGCAGCTCCCTGGGGCCACAGTGTCCCTGCATCACCCCTGTAATGGGCAGTAGGTCAAGGATGACATTCAGCCTCCAACACCCACCCTGATACCAAAGACCAGCACATGGTCCCCTCTCAGTGACCAGACTAGACGGCTACTTGTGAAACTTCTCA